CCTTTGACTCCATAGATGCAAAGCAAAGTCAATGAATTGAAAGATAAACATGAATCTTTTTTGTCTCTGAAAAGGACATAAGAGGTGAAATATCCGTGTTCGGCACAGAACTGCTGTCATCCCTTACGCATCTCCTCTTTCTTGCAACTTACAAGTACAGAAAAAAGTTTACTAAACGCCAACCAAATAGCAATGTTGTATGAAAGACCTTGGAGAAAAAGAATGAGTAATCCAAAGCCCGCATTCTCAACAGCATTTCGTATTAGGCTACCCCATCTGGAGAGTTAAGAGGCGAAGAGCGGACCATTCGAACCATAAAAACACAAGAACAGTTCAAGACTAATTTTTTTTCAAAGACAAATTAAAGTTTCGACCAAAATATCGTTCCTATCAATGTTTTCAGGTTATAAATGTATTTACTTACGGGGTTATATTATCTGTGCAAAAAACAATATCAGTTAACGAAGAGGGATAAAACTTTTCGAAGTAAATTTAGCATGATTTGACAAAGCAAAGACTGCATAAGACTGCAGCAAAATAAATCCGAATGAAGTAACTAAAACTGGGCATCAGCAACTTGAGACTTAAACGAAGATTGAATATGCAGCCGCTCAAACGTCGTGGGTGAGTTCAGTGCAGCAGACACAGGCTTAACTGCTCAGTTCCAAACATAGCTGAAGAAATGCCAGAGTTCTTGCACCTAAGCATTGTGCATCTCATCACTAATCCCGTCATTCCTCTGCCAATTTATTAAGAAATAAGGTGACTTGGTAATAATTTGATCGGTACCCATAGCGCTCATTGAGTTTAACAAGGAGATAAGGTGTAAAGCTAAGCGGCGCTTTCAGCAAAGGCAAGCTAACCTTCTGAGCGAAGACAGCCTCCATATCGGCCTCCATTTTACGCAATTTCTGCTCGTGTTCACGCTTCTCCGCATCCATCAGCATCATGGGATCCTGACCGTCATGAGTCTTGAAGTTACTGTCTTGCGCAATGCCTGACAACTTCGAAGCACGGTAGTTCTCATAATGCTGGCGGTGGGTCACCTCACGCAGATTCTGCAAGATACCATGTCTGCAATCGAAACCCTTTTCTGCATCCATCATAAAACAATCTATTAAATTTCAACGCCTGGATACGAAGTCCCAAGCCTTTTTTGCATTGCAGATATTGTTTCATACAAACTGGTTTGTTTTATGATGAACCTTTCACTCAACAGGACGTGCTTCAAGGCGAAAGTACCGATGGGAAGCATTAAGGAGGCGACCGAAGCAATGTTTGTTAGTACCAATTTTAGAGTCCGTGTTGCCAGTCCATCCATCCCCACCCACATTGGTAGCAAGGCTTTTCTTAAGTCTGGATGAACTTTAATTATAGAGTTGACAAAATCACCTGTCTGAACAATAAATTTTGGTAGCCATTGCTAAAATAGTTAATAACGGCATAAAAAGTCTAGATGGACATTATATTAGCATGTGAATGGGAGATGAAATTAGCATCCCAGTATTCAGCCTCCACTAATAGAAAAATTTCTCCTTTCAAGAACCGATGCTACACAACTGCGGATCGAGTTCTGTGGCTAAAGAAAGGGTGACGAAACAAATAACAGGTCGCATTAAAAATATTAAACATATCATATATACATGTATTGATGAGAGTCATTAAAGTTGATCATTGAACTGTGGAAAATTGTTTCGGAAGAAAAGAGGTAGGCTTAATAATTAATAGCCAGATCATCCCATCTAATAACTGTAAATATCATACTGTGTTAGTTTAGGAAGGTGACAGTCACTTCTGAGGCGCCAAGATGTTAAACAGTCACAAGTGGAATGCTTGTTGAAGTAGCCACCTTTTTTCCTTAAACACTGCATATGGACGCCAAAATCGTTGACATCTTTCTTTGACGAAACGTGAAAGTGTTATTTGTGGAAGCGTACAACTTCCCTATGGTTATTGGTGCTTTTACTGCTCTGGAATGCGAGCCGAAGGATGACGGTCGTAGACATTGCCGAGAAAAATATTAGGCCTGAAAGGGTTCTTCTTCTTCTAAATGATCTCTGACTTAAAAACAGGCCAGCAATCCATCAAAGGCTCAATATGGGACCAAAACGGCCGTAATAAAAAAAGGGGAAACGCAACCCAAAATCCTTGTCAAATTACGAAATCTACCGTCCAACATAAACCAGTGAAATCAAAAACAATTTACAATGTCATACTTCATGAAGTGGGTGGGCGAATAAGAAGGCAATCGGACTTGCTTCATGGACTCAGGGACCGGCATCAATGCATTACCACAGATGGCTCGGAAGACTAACTGCCTACTCTTCTAATAAGATTATGGCTGCCGGACATCTATATGCAACCTGCAGGTAGATGAATCGAGGAGTTATCACCAGATAGAGGAGGTGTGCTTTGGGAAGGCGACAAACACTTAAAATCGATGAATGGTAATAAAAAGCAAAACTCGTAGAAGCTTTGGAGATATCCACCTTAAGCTACGCAAGATCTGCAGAGGGTTAACCAAGACTATGTAGAAAATCTAGCGAAACCCGGCCATGTGAAAATATTCGTCGCAGCAATTTTTTACATTCATCGCAAAAAGTAAATTAACGTTAAATAAAATGCAGCCAGTTACCAGGTCGCTAGTGCATCAAGCTAACCTTAAATGGGCCGGGACGAATAGGCAGGTAGGTAGAGGGGAAGCAATGGCACATTGTTTCAAAGCATCGTGAAAGCAACCATGAGATTAGAAGTTGTGATCTCAGAGTTTATTGTAAGCACATCCCCTGATAATTTCTTTGTAATACAATGAAAAATGGCATTGAAGAATAACAAGCAAGCTTAGCAAATGCGATGTATCTCGACATGTCACTAACTGCTAGCACGGTGGCGCTGCACATACAAATATGATATATTCTCTTAAGGGTTGAAAACATACAATAAGCGTCCAACAAAAAATTCATCCGAATAACCAATTGCTATGCCGCTAGGTAGTCAAAATCTCATCCACAAACCAAGATAAACTAGTAAAAGGATAGACGGAGGGACAGACAGCTCCATAACGCAATTACGGAGCCTTGAAAATAGGCTGGACCCACCTGCATCTGCATCTGGATGAGGTAATAACTAAGGACAGCGAAGTCGTTGTGCTCCACATTTTCTACCTCAACCGTGCCCCAGGGATAGGTGCGAGCGCGTACTCGATGGCCCGCGGTGTTAGTTATGTAGGTGTTGGCACCCACTACTGCAAAAGGAATGCGGTCTCGCAGGCCCCGCATCCGACTCCTCTCTGAGTCCATCTTCGTCTCGCCTGTGAAAGAATACTGTCCCTCGGCTGCATTCCAATGGGATTAAGCAGTATTTACAGTAAAATACTAGACATAAATCGTGAAGACAGTCTAACCTTCCCAAAACCATATCTTTTTAAAACCAATTGTTGATGAAACGAGGGGGTGTGGACTGGTCAATGTAACATGTTTGACGTCTTAAACATCAACTAGACATTTAGCTAGTGCATTTAGTGGTAAAATTACAGCTTCCAATGTGGGAGGGAATCTAGCATCAAAATAATAGGTAATGCCGAACGAACTCCAGACATCAATTATGACTTGACCCATCCTTCCAGCAAAAAGAATGCTTTGCAAAGTTCCTTCTTTACGATCGGCCGCAACTGGCCCACATAATGTAAGATTATCATAACTGTACATGGCTTTCAACATTACACCGAGTTCAAAAACAAGTCAAACAGTATAACTGTTTCTGGTTTTAGAACGGCACAAGACTTAAGTGCCAAATTGGATCTAAGGTAGTACTGTTTTGAATCAATGTTTACTATTCAAATCTAGGATTCGCCAACGCATTTCACTACAATTCGACTAATAAGTCTGTGATTAAAAATAGCATAGAAACGATATGCGTTAAAATAAATATCACTGGAGCACCATGAAATGTCACGCAGAGGAAGGGTTTTAACCACCAAAATTTGATTTTACATACAGATTTACCTTTACAGAAGTAAAACCAACTATGAAGCCCTTCATCTTAACGAAGACACATCCTCTGAGACTTAAAGTACCAGAAATAGATAGTTAAGTAATGTGTAGAAAAAAGAAAGTGAATTGCGATGAAGAGCTCTCCTGATCAGCACAGATCTGGCCTTACCACATTCAGAGAGACCAATATTACAACTTACCATTGGTCTTATCACCCTCAACGAAGTCGTATATTTTGATTTGATGCTGTTGTAGATCCGCTAGAATATTTTTCTTAAACTCCTTGCATTCTTCCGGTGTGAGGCAGTCCGCTTTTCCAATGACAGGGATGACATTTACTTTATCTTGAATTCGTTTGAGACACTCGATATCTAAGCTCTTAAGTCGGTGACCTAAAAAGCACTAAATTTGCTGAGAATTCGGAGCAAACGTAAAGTGATTGCCCTGGTAGGTTGAATTTACCCGTTGGAGCAAGAAAATACAGGCAAGCGTGGACACGCGTGTCTGCAATCTTTCTTGAATCACGGAAAACGCGTCCTTCTGCAGTCATATAGTCATCAAATCTAGCTTCAATGTAGTTAACGATCGGCTTCCAGCATTCAGTATTGTCCACACATTCTCCGAATCCAGGAGTGTCAATGACCGACAAGCGCAAAGTAACACCGTCCTCCTAAGATTGTAATAGAGAATATAGAGGAAACGAACCTGCAGCAAGACAGTGGTAGAACGCACTTTCATCACTCCCTTAGCTTTCATTGAAGGACCCGGATAATCAGGGCCGTAAACGTCAGTTAGGAAGAGAGTGTTAATAAAGGTAGATTTGCCTAGCCCAGTTTCACCCACAACCATCAGGTTGAAGTCAAAACCTTGTCGTACAGCACGCCTAAAAGCCTTCATGGCGTCAGTCCAAATGTACGCATTTACATGGTTCGGAATATTTGAGTAACCAACGTAAGAATCAGGAATACTATTGGCAGAACCATTCTTCAATCCATTTAGGTGGTTCTCCTGGTCATACTTGGAGACCTTGTCAGTAATGACATCTTTCATCGAGGATTTTGGAGCATCAACAGTGGTTATATTCTCCTTCCCAAAGAAATTACCGCGCCTACTTGCGGACGTTGCCATCAGATCTACAGATATCCAGCTGCTGAACAAAGGCGGACAGTCAGAAGCCGTAGCAATGAGTTGGAACAAGCCAATCAGGAAAGGAAAGACGCTCCAATTAAAAGTAAAATAAAGGTCATTGTGAGTTAATACAGAAACACGAAAAATCAGTATCCCTTTCGACATAAAGGACATACTATCAATGAACGTTGCAAGCTGCTTATGTGTATCTTAAAGTTAGACGTTTGTATTAGGACTTCGGAAATGGAAACGGCGCGCAATTAGGAGGGCGACGTTTTGCGTGTTCCGGTGGCTCCCTTACGAATGTCGTCGCCATGCTCCACTGTTCATTCTCTACCTGTAAATATTGATGCCGATGGGGCAGTTTTGGACCTCTCAAAAGAGTTTGTGGCAGTTGGGTATGTTCCAACCT